GTGTCTCCTCCAAACAGCAAACATGGGAAACAGAAAAGTGATAGCTCCACTTGCTGTTAGACAGTCTGTACGCTGAAACCATGTAACACAAAAATTACGATTTTGTCGTTTGTCCTTTTATTATTGTTATTTGAACATCATTTGGATGATGTGTCCCCAATCTCTGTACTTCCAATTTTTCCTCCAAAGACTTTAAAGAAAATGTATTAGTGCCTCACTGTACTGTGGCTACTGCGCTGTGATTGGTCGAAGATCACTGGCCTTTGGGCTGAATGAATTTAATTTAAATAAACCCTCCTGTGGCCAATAATGATAAAATAATTATTATTGTTATACTAGTTTGATTATTGATCGATTATTGACTTTATCTTGAAAGCTAAAATAAAGGGGAGTCCTTAAGAAAACATCCTCTCATATTAGGGGGTCTGTGGTCTAATGTGGTTCTATTGTACAAGACATGAACAAGTTTGGGAACCCCTGTATTATGCTATATTCTTAGCCATGTAATGTGTACCATTCAAAAGCTTTCAGAAGCAAATACACAGTGCATGCTAACTACTGGAATGTGTCAGGATTAAACGGTTTCAGTGGTTTGAATCGACCTTTTGAAGTAATAAATATGTTTCTCCACTGTAGCTGTACAGAGTACTGTACCTGAAACAGATGAGAATTAACATTTTATTTGGTTGTTGACAACTTTACTTTAAAATCAATTTAAATCACAGGAGGTTTTTAAATAGTTGATTTACCTTAAGACACAAAAAACCTTCTTAACCCAAAAGGGCACATTTAAACCTTCAGTGTATCAAAAAGCATTCACATCCAAATGTGAAAACAGGAAAGGTATGGAAAATCTGAAAAGTATCTAGTAACTATAGCTCTTTGACAAGGAAATAGAACAAAAAAAAGGACAAATACAAGGACAATATAAAAATGTGGTTGAGGAGAAGTACCAAGCTGTATGAAATGGAAATACTCAAGTAAAGTACAAATACTTTCAAATTAATTCTTAAGTGCTGTACATGAGTAAATGTATTTAGTTACATTCTACCACCACTGGTTACAAAGGCTAAACTAAACACTACCAACCTAGCCCAAATAGCAGTAGCCCTCCAGGAGGGAGAGACAGCCATCTTGGGAGGAAACAGGCTTATAACCTACTAAACAGGCGAGGCCGAGCAGTCAGGAAGAACCTGAGAGAGGGAAGCAGAGACAGGTCAAAACATCACATACTGTCCTATCACACTGTGATGAACCACCATTATATGTCTCTGTTTCTTCACAGGTGTTTCATCAGGCACACTTGTTGTGACCCAGACTCCTGCTGTCTCTGCAATGGAGGGAGAGGCAGTAAAGATCAGCTGCTGCTGGAACTTGACAGGGGAGGCTGAAAGAATGAGAGTTTCCTGGCTGAAAAAT